GTCAGGCAGGTCTGAGAAAGAAGGGGACAAGAGAAGAGTCATTCTCCACACTGACCAGTCATCTTGCTGTTTCCTCTGCACATAAGACAATCCAGAAAGCCATGCGAGGGGCCCCATCTAATAATGACTGTGGGCCCTCAGCAGCCCCTCTGCCTGGACAGGAGGGCAGGTGGCCTTCTCAGCCCCTCAGATATAGCCTCATGGGCAGAACCCAGCAGAGCAGGAACTTAGGCTCTCAGTCTTCCAGGGCTGAGGAGACCAGGGCAGCAGTGCCACAACATAGAGTCATCTTGGGATCCAGTATGCAGGCAAGCTTCCAAGCCACAAATGAGCATGTGAGTGGTTTAGAGGCTCCAGGAGCCAGTAAAAGCCCTCCACCCCCTAGAATGTCTGTTGCCCAAGACCCAGAAGATCTCTGCCTTCTGGCGGGGATGGTTAGTGAGTTTGAGCCCGGAGTGGCAGCAAAGTCAGCAGCCAATCAGCCTCATGTCTGTGGTGCTGCTGTGCTCCTTCCAGATAGTGTCTCTGATGTACTCCTTGATGCAAACAGTTTGGTTTCTCAGGTGCCCCAGAGCTACCTCCAGAGTGCACCTGTTGGGGACAGGCCAGCATCCCAGGTGCTAGGTGACCTCATGGTAGCCAGAGGGAGCAGCCTGGGGCCGCAGGAGCCCAAGATCCCCAAATATCAGGATTCATGCAAGACTCAAAGCGAGTCGTTTGCCCTTGCTTACAAGAGTGAGAGCAGTAGAAAGCTCAACTCAGAAAAGCAAAAAGAAAGGTTTGAAGAATTGGAAACCTCCCAACTCACCCTAGTCAGGGGAACAGAAGACACCCTTCACAAGATCCCCGAATATCAGGACTCATGCAAGACTCAAAGTGAGTTGTTTTCCCTTGCTTACAAGAGTGAGAGCAGTAGAAAGCTCAACTCAGAAAAGCAAAAAGAAAGATTTGAAGAATTGGAAACCTCCCAACTCACCCTAGTCAGGGGAACAGAAGACACCCTTCACAAGATCCCCGAATATCAGGATTCATGCAAGACTCAAAGGGATTTGTTTGCCCTTGATTACAAGAGTGAGAGCGGTA